CTATTATGTACTCATAAAAACTAAAAGTAAGATAAACCCTTTCAAAACAAATAAATAAAAAAGAACTCCAAAGGGACTGGAAGATTACATTTCCATCAAAGAAGCAACAATACAACAGACAGCTAACTTTCCAACAAAGAGGAGACTCCAATTGCTAACCTAGAATTCAATGCCTTGTGAAAACATTCTGTAAAACAGAAAGCAAAATATATTTTTTTATTAAAAAAGGAAACCTGAGAGAAATAACTGCTAATCTAATTGTACTATATATAAAGTTTAAATACTTGATAATAGGAGTCAAAAGAAAAAAAGGAGGAAGCAAACAAATGGAGTTAATGAATTGTAACATTCTTTCATTGTCTGGGATGTGGTAAAAAATATTAATTTATAGGTAGAGTAGTAAATTATAATCTCTAAATTGTAAAATAACACTCTATATAAAAGAATATATAGAAATAGCACATATATAAAATAATACTTAATGAATGCATAAGTACAAGCTAATAGCTAAAAAAAGGAATAATTTAAGATATTAATCCAAAAAAAGATAGAAAAAAAATTAGACAAGTAAAAAATAGCAAACTAACAGATTTATATCCAAAAATATTAGTAATTATAGTAAATATAAAATGTATTAAAATACTCTATTTAAAAGGTAAATAAATACTGTCAGACTGATCAAAAACCTGAACTACACTTATTTTTTAAAAAATCTACATTTAAGGACACAGAATAGCGAAAACTATAAGGATGAAAAAAAACATATTCTACAAATCACTAACCAAACAAAAGCTGGTGATTATACTGATAACAGAAAGAGTTGATTGTACATGATGAAGCGGTGCTAGAGATAGAGGCATATATCATAATGATAGAGACAACTCACCAAAAAGATATAAAAATATGAATTTGTATACAACTAATGACAGAACCTCAAAATACTGCAAGAACTGACAAATACAAAGTCACATGGAAGATTTTAACATGTCTCTCTCATAACTGAAAGAACTTGACACACAAACAAAAAAGGAGACATAGAGATTTGAACACAACAAATACACTTGATATATTTTGATATATACAGAACAGTGTACCCAACAACTACTACATATATATTATTTGCAATATATAATATATAATATTATTTATTATTTTCAAGTACACACAAAACATTTTTTTTTTTTTTTGAGTTGGAGTCTCACTCTGTCACCCAGACTGGAGTGCAGTGGCCGCTCCCGGCCACCGCAGCCTCAACCTGCTGGGTGCCGGCGATCCTTCCGCCTCCACCTTCCAAGTAGCCGGAATTACAGGCATGCGCTACCACACCCGGCTGATTTTTTGATTTATTGTAGAGATGAGGTCTCGCTGCCCAGGCGGGTCTCGAACCCACGGGCTCAGGCAATCCACTCACCTCAGCCTCCCAAAGGCGTGGGATTACAGGCTGAGCCACTGAGCCCGGCCACACAAAACATTTTAAAAATTGACTATATGCTGGCCCATAACATATAATTCAATAAACTCCAAAGGCTTAAAAATCATAGAAAGTATTTTCTAATGACAATATTAAGTTATACATCAATAGTAAAATAACTAAAAAATCCTCTATGTTATAAAAAATAAACTCAATCTTAACTTAAGTAGTGACCCCCCAATAACTCCAAATAACCCATGGGTCAAAGAAAAAAAACATGAATTTAGAAAATGTTTTGAACTAAATGATAATAAAACATGGCATATCAAATTTGTGAAATATACCAAAAGTCACACTTACAAACACTGATAGTTTAAAATAAAAAGGCCAACAATCAATGATCACTCCTCCAATACCTTAGAATATAAAAAGCAAATTATGTGTGAAGAACACAGAAGAAAGAAAATGAGAAAAAGCAAAGGGTAATATATTAAGACCACCTAAACATACTAATATACACAGATGGGCAACAATTTTTTAAATGACATTACTGTAAATAAATAAATTACAAAACCCTTTCTCCTCTCTATGGAAAACTTTATCTTTAGCTAACTCTCTAGACCTTTTCCCCAGGAAAATTTACTAAGCTGCTTTGCTGATGGTGAAAATAACTCCTCACAACTATACCAGGAGGTCTAAAAATAAGCCATAAATGTATGATAGAAGCCACAGCTCAAGCAACCCTGACTGCTATGCCTTTTACAAGTGATCTAGAATCTACTCCTATGGTATACTTTCTAGAGATCATATTTTCTGTTTGGGACGTGGGACTTCTAAGCCAGTAAAACTCTCAACACCCACAAAAGTGATCTCATTCTAAGCCTGACTACTGCAGTCATGTGAGTTTTATTATTTAGTCAAACCTGAACACCATTAAGTTGGTGAAGAAAGTACCAAAGGCTGATGAGGATGTGAGGCAACTAGTACTTTCACACTGCTGGTGGGAATGTAAATAAGTACAACTATTTTGTAATGTTATTTGGTAGTAAGTACTAAATTTAAACATATGCCAACAATAACACATGTTTAAGAATGTTCTTAGCAATCATTTATTCATAATAGTCCCAAAAAGGAAACAAACCAAATGTCCAAGAACAGAATGATAAAGTGCCATATATTTTTATACAGAATACTACATAGCAATAAAAATGAACCATCTATTGCTTAATGCAATGACATGGACAAATCTCTCCAAGTTTAGCAAAATAAGCCAAATATAAGAATACACTCTATTGAAAGTTCAAAATCCAGCAAAAATAATCCACAGGCTGGGCTTGGTGGCTCAAGTTTGAAATCCCAGCACTTTGGGAGGCCAAGGTGGGATGGCTGCATGAGCCTAGGATTTGAGACCAGCCTAGGTAACATAGCAAGACCTCGTCTCTACAAAAATTAAAAAATTAGCTGGGTGTGGTGGTGCACGCCTACAGTCCCAGTTACTTGAGAGGCTGAGGCAAGAGGATCACTGTTGGGAGCTGGCCACAGAGGCCCACTGAGCATTAGGGATCAGGGAGGACCGTGGACCCCGAGACCACTAGGATGCATTCGGGAGCTGTTGACCCCATTCCCTCCTCCCTTTTTCTATTTAACACATTTAGCCAAAAGGAACTCTGCTGACTTAAGCTGAAGGCTCTGTGACTGTGACAGACATGGCTAACTCTAGAAACTCATTGTTCATGTTTCCCATGAACTGCGGTTTCGGCATAGGTATTAAATATAATTCAAACTCAGGTCACATTTGGGAGCCTTCTATACAATACAGACTTCTTTATAAGATTTAAAAGTATATTTGTAGAATTAGTATATACAAATGGAGAGCTGTTTTCAGCTTTAGATAGTATAGATGATTATCTAGAGTTACCAGAAATGGCCCAGCACGAACTTTGGGCTGGGCCACATTCCTGAGGGCCCAGCACGTACTTTGGACTGGGCCACATTCCTTAGGAACTGGTTTGAGCTATAATTAAGAGTTTCCATAGTGCATGTAGAATTAGGGTAGAATAGAAAAGAATTAGGATTTAAGTTAGTCATTAGGTGTTGTGTATGCATAAGTTTTAAAAGTTACTGATTATTAGAATTTTATGATGTTAGAATTGTTGTATTGCTTTTGAGGAACATTAACCAAGCATAAGGAATAGTGAGATAATTTTGGGATCGCCCTTCCTCATGCTTGAGGAAGCACCTGATGGGTGGGAAATGCCCCTCATCCACCTAGCTTTGTGTTCATGTAAAAGTCTTGTGATTTAATTGGGATTGTCCTTCCTCATGCTTGAGGAAACACCCGGTGGGTGGGGGATGCCCCTCATCCACCTGGCTTTGTGTTCACATGAAAGTCTTGTGATTTAATTAGGATTGTCCTTCCTCGTGCTTGAGGAAATGCTTGGTGGGTGGGGGAAGCCCCTCATCCACCTGGTTTTGTGTTCATGTGAAAATCTTGTGATTTAACCTGTGAAAACTTAGGATAAAAGGCTTACGATTTGTCCCATTAAATGGCTTCTGCACTAGACAGAGTCCAGTCTCTTTCTTTCTCCCCCCTTTTTTTCTTTCTTTTAATATCTATCCCTCCTAACAGAATCACCGACGCCACCACATCGTTCCAGGGACCCTCAAATCCTGCAGGGGCTGGGCCACCGCAGATCACCTGAGCCATGATCGTGCCACCGCATTTCGGCATGAGCAATGGTGTGAGACCCTGACTCAAAAAAAATTGCTTTTAATTTTTAAAAAAACTACAGTAATAGTAATTAAAATAAGATTACATTTTAGGGTGGTGGCAGGTAATGAGAAAGCATGAAATGGTTTCTGGTCTGCTAATACTATTCTATATCTTAATATGTATTAGGTGTGTTTATTTGGAAAAATTAATGAACTGTACCCTTATGATTTGTATACTTTATGTATAATATATGTCAATAAAAACAATTCACTTACACAAAAAGTCTAATAAGACATGAAAACCAAACTTAATGCATGACCCTGATCAGATCCTGCATTTTGAAAAAAAAAAACTTACAACCAAAATATATTTAGAGATAACTGGAGAAACCAGATCATGTTACTGAATTATTTTAATTTTATTAGCTGTGACTACATTGTAGCAGTTATATAGAATAATGTCTTTAATTTAAGGACATGCATGCCAGAATACATAGGAAGGCAGTACATTTATATCTAAAACTTATTTCCAATGGGTGGTGGGAGAAAGCATTAAATATAAATAAAAAAGTATATTGGGAGAGAGAAAGCAATAAGACCCATGTGTTAACAACTGATAACTCTAGGCTGAAGGACATGCAGTTGTGCATTGTAGAGTTCTTTCAACTTCTCTGTAGATTTGAACAACATCAAAATTGAAGTTGGTAATGGGCAGGTACACTTAGTGAAATCTCCAAAGCACCATTGTGAAGGAACCACGAAAATAGTACAGCTTATGAGGTTTAAATACTAAATGAAAATTGTGAAAAACTACAGATTTGATTTTTCTTTCTGTAACAATATTTTATCCTTCAAGAAAATTAGTGAAATAAATCCTTTACCTTCTAACAACTGAAACGGGCAAACTGAAGACTGACGGCGAAGGTTTACTGGGAGGACTAATAGACCTATTTCACAAAAGAAAAACAAAGAAACAACTGAGTAGACAAAGTTTTATCTAACAAACACAACTTACCTCACATCCTTGGCTGAAAATAAAATCAAGAGCTGCCAATGGGTCTATCAATAGTATAATAACAACATAGTATCAACATGTTTGCTACCACCTGGATTTGTTTATGAAGAATAAATTATGATTTTCTTTTTTTTTTTGAGTTGGAGTCTCAATCTGTCACCCAGGTTGGAGTGCAATGACATGCTCACGGTCAGGCCACAGTAGCCTTGACCCGCTGGGCTCAGACAATCCTTCCCCCTCAGCTTTCCAAGTAGCTGGAACTACAGGTGCACACCACCATGCCCAGCTTATTTTTTAATGTATTGTAGAGACAAAGTCTCACCAAGTTGCCCAGGCTGGTCTCGAATCCCTGGGCTCAGGCAATCCTCTCACCTTGGCCTCTCAAAGGGCTGGGATAACACATTTGAGCCACTGTGCTCAGTCAGAACTTTATTTATTTTTATTTTTATTTTTTTATTAATCAATATTTTTTATTATGGTTTTGTGGGGTACAGCTAAGGGTTAGGTGTACAATTACGTTTCATTCAGGCACCCTGTTGATAAGAGGTGTTTTCCCATCCCCAGACAGATATTTGCTACTGTTAATCCCATCCCCCTCCCCCCAATAGTTTCCCAGTACCGTCAGTCATTTTCTTATAGTATTACATTGGCTGTTCAAGGTCCATTATATGAGTGTGAACATGTGATACTCGGATCTTTATTTCTGTGAGAGGTCACTCAATATTACAGACTCTACAGAACTTTATTTTTAAACATTACTAAATATAAAATATAAAATTTGCTGTAGGGATTTTTGTTTTTAATACATTTTTGGTACATACCTTCAACTTTGTATTTTTCTTTAATATTTTATTATTTAATAAAATCTGGGAAGATGTTTAGAATGATAATATGTTATTAACACTGATGTTGAGCAGGATTAGTGGGAGGGGACATACGGAATCCACTTGCCAGTATATGAGTCATTTATTATATGGGATTCCTTTAGAATATCATAATCCAGGTCTCTACAATAAATCAAAAGAAAAAAAACCAGCCAGGCACAGTTGTGTGCAACAGAAGGCCAAGGCAGAAAGATCACCTGAGCCCAGCAGGTCAAAGCTGCAGTGGCCATGAGAGTACATAAATAAATAAAACATATTTTTAAAATAAAATAAATTTAAAAATAAATAAATAAATAAAAATAAAATTCCTGGGTGATTATTTGGGCCAATAGGCTTTTTGATATTGCTTATTCAAACCAAAATTCATACCACATGTGTCTAGCATGGAAAGCATAAGCCTCAAATCAGAAATTTCTGTGCATTGCTGTAAGATTATCAGACACCTCAGATAAATAATTCTTAAGAGCAAAAAAAACTTATTAATTCTTATACAGCTCACCACATATCCATTCTTGATACTTCATCAAATAACAGAAGACAAAATAGTGCTCCAACTTCAGTCACAACATTACAATCTTCATGAAATATTAAGGAAACTGAGGAATAAAAAGATGTGTAACTTTATGCACTTTATGTTTGTTTCTAGAAAGAATGAACTTGAAAAGTAAAATATCTTAATTTGAAAGAAAGAGAAATGCAACATTAACCCAGATGAGAAGACATCACTAAAACACAGGCTGCCAAGATTTCAAATGTGTAAGAATCACTTGGTGTGCTTGTTTAAAAAAAAGTTTCTGATTCAGTAGTTTAGGGTGGAGCCTGTGAATCTGCATTTCTAATAAGTTCCCAGAGGATCCAGGCACACTTGCAGATCCACCCACTGGACACTACCTAGTTATGGGTAATCACAGAAGCAAATTGTTACAGTTTCTGGGAAAGTTTTACCAAGTCATCTAATTCCAGCTAAAAGTTTCCTTACTAAAGCATCTCAATATTTTATAACTTTAGCCCTTTACTACAAACATGTGATCATAGAACTTGAATCTAACTTTAAAACGTGATACTTGGGCTGTGTTGTTTTGGTTTTGGTTTCCTGTTTACTATGACAAGATGATGTAGAAGGAAAAAGTGTGCTGAACTAACGTTAACTCTATTTAGCTAAGCTGTCTATTCAAATTCTTTAGCACTAATAAGCCTCAGTTTCCACTTCTGTAACATTCCCAAATGCTACAATTTCTCAGTGCTTGAAACCTATGAAATTCTAAACAAATAGTATGGTAGTTGTACCAATCACTCAGGAATAATAATATACTACAGAGTTAGCAAATTCAGGGAAGCAGCAACAAGAAGACATTTTTCCTAACTGTAGGGAAAAAAAAATCATAATGTAACTGACATGATTAATACTAGCAATAACCTAAAAGGTAAAGAAACAGATAAACATGTAAAAAAAATTAACTTAGGTTAAAGGACACATTTCATATGAGTGGAGATAGAATGAACCATAACATTTCTAAATACATAAGAAACTGTTGCAACACAATTGCCTAAAATATGGAAAACAACAAATTTGGATCCCTACCTTAGACTTTATAACAATATCACCTCTAAATACATTAAAGATTCCATTTTTCAAACAACACTATGAACATACCAGAAGAAAGTGGAGGAATGTGTTTCCATCCTGGTATTGGAGAAGGCTTTACTTTTAGAGCATGATAAAATGTCCCAGTTGCCATAACAGAAATGCTTTGTGTATTTTCATAGGATATTTAAGATTATTTAAGGTTAAAGATACAAAGTAAATATGGCAAAAAGGACAGAATGGTTAAAAGGAGATATTAATAATATAAAATCGGGGGGGGGCATATAACATCACCAAGGGTTCCTGATCCTAAACCAGGCGAAGTGAGGACCCGTGCAAAGACCACTTATGTATCTAATCTGACTTGTACCCCACATCTTTAAAATAAAATATAAAAAATAACATAAAATCATGCATAAGATCTATGTTATAAAAAGAAATCCTAAAGTCACCAAAAAAAGAGATACAACAAGAAAATAGGCAAGTCATAGATTAAGAAATGAGAATATATACTAAACATATGAAAAGATAATCAACTGCACTAAAAATAAAATAGAAAAATAAAACAGTAAGATATTATTTTCACCTATTAAAGAGAATTTTAAAACGCATATACACATATACACATATACAGCGCATATAATGCATATAAATATATACAGTGTTGGCAAATTGTGAGGAAAACAAGTATTTTTAAATATGGGAGTGATTTAGTGAGAAACTCAACCATATCTTATAAAATCTCTCTGACCTAGAAATTCCAATTACAGCGTATGCACAAAGATGATCACACAGCATGATTACTGTCATGGTGAAAAATCTGAAACAATTATCCAGCAATATGGCAAACTCAAATTCTAAAACATCATGCAGTAGTTTTCAGAGTTTTTTATTTTTAAAATGCAGATTTATAGACGGGCTCAGTGGCTCAACCTGTAATCCCGCACCTTGGAAGGCTGAGGTGAGTGGATTGCCTGAGCCCACGGGTTCGAGACCCGCCTGGGCAACTTGGTGAGACCTCATCTATACAATAAATCAAAAAATTAGCCGGGTGTGGTAGCGCACACCTGTAGTTCCAGCTACTTGGAAGGCTGAGGCGGAAGGATCGCAGGAGCCCAGCAGATTGAGGCTGCGGTGGCCGGGAGCAGCCACTGTACTCCAGTCTGGGTGACAGAGTTCTCACTCAAAAAAAAAAAAAAATGTAGATTCATATGTAATAATATGGAAAGATAGTCAAAATATCTTCACTGCTTTAAAAAAGGACCAATAGAAATAAGTGATTGCTAAGGAATAGATTTTCTTGGTTGAACAGCTGGCTAAAAAATTATTTTGCTCTGAAACTAAATCCATGAATGAGAGACACTATAATTCATTTTCAGATTTATTGAAGTAATTTTCACAAACAGTGATGAAATAGGAAAACTGTTGAATACCAAAAGGGTACAGATTAGGTTGCCTTCGAAAGTGCCTTTGAATCCAGTAGGTGCTCATAATAAGTTCCATGCTTGAGTAGTTTAAATGAAAAGGTAAAGTAGGAACTAAATGCAGTTGAATGAGGTTAATAAGAAGACAATCATTTATTAACAGGATTAAAGAAAACTAAAAACCCATAACTGCTGCTCTTCAGAGGACAAATCCTTAAGAACCTGCAAAAATTTTGCACTCTACTCAAAATTTTATGAGCCTAAAAAGGCCGTTTAGAACTTTGCCTGGTTTGGAGTTTAACCAATACTACTTAAACAAACCTCATGTTATTCACTTGGCAATCAGAAGCCATTAAAAGGGGGAAAAATGCTAAAATAAAATGACTATATAATAATAATATATTTTGAACATAAATCTCATTTATCTTCCATGTGCAACACACAGAATATTTAAAAGCAGTGGCCTAAACCTCTAGGAAAGAAAACATTGCCAAGGTCTCTATTGAGAAAAGACAGAAGAAAAGAAAGAAGAAAAAGAGAACAAATGACATAAGATGTGCCCATCTAAACACATTACTAAATTAAAGTCAAACTAAAATGGGTTTTTAAAAAAAAACCACACTTAACAAAATGGAATACATTTATACTCAAAGTCATTTAGGATGGTCTAGTTTCCATCCCTCACAGGTTGGATCTATACGCTTAATGCACATATAACAAAACAACCAGATATCACACAAAAGGTTTCAGCTTTTAAAGGCACAAGCATAACAAGAAAGTGAGAACAGATATTGTAAAGAAGACAGTATTGACAGCAGTTGCAACATAGTCTATATCAAGGTACCAAGAACAATCGGAGGCTTCAGCTTTTCTGAACTCGGAGATCCACTCAGTAACAGGATTATAAGGAAATTTCCACAAAACCATTAAATGTTTTTCATTGTGATGAGTTTTTAGTAGTTTGTTCACTAATAAACTTTGTTGTTCTATTAGTAAAATGAAATAAACATTATGTACTATTAAAAAAGAAATACTCTAAGCTTAGGATGAATCTCATTATTAGCAGAATTTATTTTATTTACCTCGGAATAACAGGGTCAAGAGAGAAGACTGTTGTGAGAGGGAAACACGCATGACTGGATCGGCAAATAAAACCTTCCTCAAGAGCGTGAGACATGGCTGTGTCAAACATTCTATAACCTGGTCAGAAGAGAAAACGCATCATTTTATTTTCACCAATTCTAAGGTGAGGTAAAATATACCATATTACCTTATAAATTGTCTGCTTTTTCATCAAAACTATGGGAACTAAATGCAAATAAATATCAGGAATTACTTTCCACCGAAAATAAGTTCTGTATATACTTATGACACAACTTATAGAAATTTTAAGATTAGTTTTATAACGACCTCACTACATTAAAATTCATAGTTTAAGAAATTTTAAAAATGAATGAGATAGCATTACTTAGATTTAAAATCTAAATACTCTGGCCAGGCTCAGTGGCTTAGCCTGTAATCCCAGCACTTTGGGAGACTGAGGCGAGTGGATTGCCTGAGCCCGTGGGTTCGAGACTACCCCGGGCAACTTGGCGAGACCTGGTCTCTACAATAAATCAAAAATTAGCCGGGCGTGGTAGTGCTTGCCTGTAGTTCTGGCTACTTGGAAGGCTGAGGTGCAAGAATCACCAGAGTCCCAGCAGGTTGACGCTGGGGCTGGGGTGGCCATGAGTGTGCCACTACACTCCAGCCTGGGTGACAGAATGAGACTCCCACTCAAAATAAATAAATAAATAAATAAAATCCAAGTACTCATCCAAATTCAGCTTAATTCAATTTCAGATCTGATTAATACAAACTACCACCTATAAAAATGTCTAGATACACATTTGTCTTACCTTGCCATCTTGACCCACACATCCATTTAAATACTCAATTATCTTGTCAATTAAGCACAACTTTTTCACCACAGTATGCATTTTAATATCTGTAGACCAAAAAAAGTTACAAAAAGTTAAAGAGCAATTTTTGTAGTTCTAAAAACATGTTTTAAAATATACAAAACCAACATCCACACAACTTTCAAATTAAAAATAGTTATACCTGAGGCTGAAATTAGAGAATAAAACTCTTAACTTTGTACTTTATATACACCTGTACAATTTGAAAATGTTTAAGTAACAAACTTACTTTACTTCTGTAATATAAAAAACAAAATTATAAAAAAGAATTACATGAATTATTTTCAGACTCTGAATATTACTAGAATTTTAAGGGTACAAATGAATCCTTCCATTTATACATGGCAAATTTATCTTTTGTTTATTTTATTTTAAAGATGCGGGGTACAATTCAGGATTAGGTATACAAATGGTCATTGTACAGGTAAAGTTTGGGCATTTCTTTTCTTTCCCAAAATCATCATCTCAAAATGTTTATAATTCTCTACAAGTTAATATGTGAATATGGCTTGCAACATGAACACTTTCACCTAAATAACTTGCTACAAAATCCCTAACCTCAAACTATTAATAGCAAATATAAAATAAATGGGATTATAATACCCCTGATATAGTTTTGAAGAATATGAACTCTAATTTAATGAACATATATTAACATAGTATGTTTGTAATAAAAGATTTCTTGTATGTACACAAAAGGATTTTATATATGCACACACAAATGTTAATAGAGCCAAAAATTCTAGTTGCTAATTTATTTGCTGCAAGTACTTAACAACTTGCTGACAAATTTTCTCCTAAATTCTCCCTAAGGAAAAAAAGCACACATACTGATATTGAACTACTGGCTATCACTGTAACAACCTTTAGCTTCTACTTTTAAAAAGCACTTGCCAAAATTATAAGTTATACTTTTTGAAATGTTAGCAATATTGAAGAAACACTTTCTAAAAGAGCTTTTTCTGATCTTATTTTAACCAAGGTTCTCACATTTTCTACAGTCTTATTTTCTGTAGTCTGTATTGTTATTAAAGAGACTATGTTAAATGTACTTTTCAAATAACTTTCTCATCCCAGTTTCCACTAATATCACAAGAAACACTAGCCACAAAAATTATTTTATGTAAATGCAAAGCTATCATTTCTCACAAATATTAGAGTATATACATCACAGATAGGGAACATTTTTAAAAACTAACCCAAACAATGGAAGCCTATGGAATAACAACATTACAAAGAAAGCTAACAGTATACTTACTAACTGTTTTAAAAAATAAACTCCTAAGGCAAATGTAGAGCTACAGAGCACTATTTTTATTTTACCTATTCATAAAAGTACTACTCTGTTTTGATTATTTTTTCTAAGATAGATGGTATAAAACATGTACTAGGTAAAGTGAACAAGGAGCATGCACTTCACTGTCAAAATTATATCCATATTTTCGAAGAAACATATTTCTGTCAGATAATACTCTATAGGTCAAATAGTAAGGAGTCAGCAAATTTATGTGAAGTATCAGGTTTGGATATGATGTTAGGCTTTACTGGACACATATGACTTCTATCACATATTCTTTGATCTTGGTTTTGTTTTTTTAACAACTCTAAAGATATAAATCCATTCTTAACTCATTCTTAATTTATGGGCTGTTAAAAAAAAAACAGGCCACAGGCTGGATCTGACCTGTAAACCATAGTTTGCCAAACCCTGCCACTACTACATATAGCAATCTAAAATTCTATTATCCACTGTACAGAAATTATTTTCCCTAAAAGACATTACCTTGCATAATCACAGCTAACTGTTCTCCAGCTGACTTTCTCAAAACAAGATCAACATCATCTGAGGTGAAGATTTCATATAACTTTTCAACAGTCTCCAACTACAAATCAAAAAAAAATTTTTTTCACTTATCTGCTTCCAATTCTTAAATAAAATTTTATAGTTAATGCCTTTAGAACAAAAGTTCAAAAAGTGTTACATAAATAACCGATATCCTTACATGTAAATTTATAACAGTGATAAGCTAAATCAGAAAGGAACTCAAGATCTAAAACAAAGAGCCATCGCATCAAATATGCCTCTCTTCTTAATATACATTTCTGCTAGGAAGTCTTCATAATCCATTAGCCACTTTAAAACACCACAGAAAATCATGTTCCCTAATATCTCTGCAGGTCGTACCAGGCTAACCTGAGAAAAGACCTGTGACTGAAGATTCCCTGTTGCTTCCGGTAGCCACCGGCTGAAATTCCCATAGCCCTCTCAGATCTTCCTTTTAGAAGACCCCAAAGCAAACAGCATTCTGGGATTTGCTGCCTAGCACCCTTACAAAGCCACCACCCCACCCCCAACAACCAATCTCTGTCATTTCATACCAGGACAGAGTCTGAAGTGGCAAAACTAGCATCAGGAAAAGGAGACAGAAAAAGAACAAAGATGACCCTCCTTTCTTCCACCCACTGTTATCCTAATATGAACTCACAGAAAACCTATTAAAATAATACTCTCTCCCTGCCTTCCACCATACTACACACAGGGCACAGGAGTGACCATCAATGGCTTAGTATTCAAGAAGCCCCACTCTGGACCAGATATGTGGCTGACATAAGGTTCTCCAACCCTCCTGCCAGTACTGTCATACAGTCCTGAAGACTTAGGTTAGAAAAACATTGAAAGTGCTTCCCCATAAAAAAATCACTGCATGACAGATGGTTCTGCAGTACTAATACAGGCTTTGCTGAGCTAATCTAAACCTAACTAAAAACTGATAGATTGCAAACTTGAAGTGAAATGAGAGGCTTTCTTTATAGAATTGGTCCAGTATGCTGGAGGGGCAGTTCCAGTTAAAGACAGGTAAATGGGTGCTAAACCGTATGTAAGGAATCAAAGATTTAGAAAAGAGATTAACTGAAAAATTTCATGATCATTGTAACATTTAAGAAAAACAGAGAAACGGCCTTTGCCTCCTATATTAATTTTTTCTCTTATAATGAAACTTTTGTCATAAAAGAGTTTTTCTTTTCTATTATTATAGGGAATTTCCAACATAAAAACAATAAAAATGTCCATAGTTTTTATGTCAGTGATACTTGTTTTTAAAAGTTTCACGCTGGGCTCGGTGGTTCAGCCTGTAATCCCACGCTTTGGGAGGCTGAGGTGAGTAAATGGCCTGAGCCCATGGGTTCAAGACCTGCCTGAGCAACTTGGTGAGACCTCATCTCTACAATAAATCAAAAATTAGCTGGGTGTGGTAGCGCGCGCCTGTAGTTCCAGCTACTTGGAAGGCTGAGGCGGAAGGATCGCCGGAGCCCAGCAGGTGGAGGCTGTGGTGGTCAGCAGCGGCCACTGCACTCCAGTCTGGGTGACAGAGTAAAACTCCAACTCAAAAAAAAAAAAAAAAAATTTTTTTTCCTGCTAGATTTGCCTTATGTTGTATTTAGAATATTATTCAAAATAATTTGCAATTGTTGCAATTTTCCTCTTCATCACTAAATTAAAAGGAGCATAATTCCTGACAAATCGTAGGCACTCAAAAAATATTTGTTCAATAAAAAATGTTTCCAGAAACGAGATGAAGGCAGAGTGCAATTTCAAACTAGCCCTGGATCATCATACTTCTCTCCCACTCTGGGATATACACAAACTGAAGAATGTCACATATAATATATACTATACAATTGTATCAAATAACCAACCACAAAGTAATAAATCCAAAAGTTATTAAGTCACCTTAATGACCACTTCTTTTCTGTCATCCAGTTTGAGTTCAATAGGCTTTTTCACAATAAATAAATTAGTAACTCTGGAGAGAACTCTTGCATCTATTAAAGGGCGTTTTGTATCAGCCCCTTCTTCACTCGTAAGATGAAATGCTAAAAGTTTTAATGCTAGTGAACGAACCCTAAAAATACAAAGTATTTAAGTCAAAATTTTGTAATATACAAATGTCTTTTTTAAAAGCCTATAATTATAAAGAACTCATATATCAACAAAGCACAGTAGTCAAATTATTATGAGCAATGATAATTTACTTTTTCTATTAAAAAAACCTTTAGCATGACTACAATAATTTATTAAATTTTATAATATTTATAAAATAAACAACAGAAGCGAAGAACTATCAATAGGTACAAATGAAACAGACTCACTGCGATTAAATATCAGTCAAGTTCAATAAGCTGATCTTCAAATTAAATCTATAACTCCTGTCTTCAAATCTAGTGATCTGTCTCAACCATGAAAAGTATCACAGACCCATGACCAAAATCCAAACATTAAGTCAAATCTCCAGAAGAGTAGTGACACTAATAACAAGAGTTTGGTATCACTACAATGTATAAACATCTTCTTATCTTAGGAGTCAAACAGATTCCCCTCAAATATGAAAATACAAATACTTTTGATTCCCAACAAAATTCTTTACCTGGAAGGAACCAGAAGGTCAGTTAAGTGGGGAGGTGGGAGACTTTTCAAGAACAGATTAAATACTGCACCCTGTTGTTAAGCAACATGTGATTGTATATTTATGTATAAGGTACACTACGAAGTTATGAGGATATAAAGATTAGCCAGTAGATAGAATTCCTGCCTACATATAATTTACGGATGGGCTGGTGATATGGCGTAGAATTAATCCAATAAAGAAAACAAATATGTAATTCAAACTGTTAAAAGTTTTGTGAAACAGAGAATTGCCTTACCCAGAAAGGTCTGGCCTTGCCCTTGGTTCCTGGAGATAGCGTGCCTGATGAGAATGTCTCTGAGCCCCCAAAAGTGAGTAAGAAATAAACTTCTATTGCGTTAAATCACCAAATTTGAGGGTCTGAGTAAGGAGTACTACACCAGCACATTAAGAAACAGGGAACAGTTCGGGTCGACGGGAAGCGTGTAGAAGCCAATCCTTGAGGAGCACAAGCACATTAGCCCCATCTGCCCCACTTCTTCCTGTGTCACCCATCATGCTACATGCTACACTACAGAACTATTCCGGTCTCTTCTTCTGATTTCCCCCCTCCATTCTCTTAACGCTTTACTTTATTTCTACCTATGTCCTTATTTTTCAGTCAGATCATCTATTTATAAATAAGCCACCATATTACTCTAAGGTTTGAGAAACACAAAATCATCAATTGTCAAAAATGTGTTTGTTCCCCCTAGCCTTTTCAACTGACTTTTCCTCTTCATCACTGCTTATCCATCTTGACTCTAGGCTTTTTTTCTCTTCTCAGTGAGGAAAACTCTAACCACTGCTACATAAAGAGAGTAACAGAAAAGATTCATGTTGCATTGAGAGAGAAAGAAGGAAAACAATATTTTTCTCCTTCTTTTCTTTCAATTACAACGATGCATAAATTAACAATGGTCAAGGAAAGGATACATTTTCAGTTTCCCAAGTAAGAGCTCAGGCTAAGTGAGATTTAAATACCTCCATAACTCTGGTATAGGAGGCAACTGGTTCACTAATAAAAAAGATTTAATTTTCAGAACAGATGCATAGAAAAGGATAACGCTGGAAGACTAAAAATTTCTAAAGAAAAGAGAAGATGGGAGCACACTATAATTTGTACAATCTATTTATCTTCGTAGCTCTCCAATTGCCTAGAGCACTACTGAACAGCATTAGTAGTAGTACTGTAACAGGCAATCTGGCAAGGGACAACTAGGCTGTAAAATAGACGAAACATCTCAAGCAAGCACTTAAAAGACCTTGCATCTGTTTAGTTTCACACATTAGTTTCCTCTCTTTGTCTAATAATGGAGAATCACATTTCTTTAAATTCCTTAGTTCTATTTTGTTTCAGAATGATATAATTACTATACTTTCTTAGAATGTTTCCAATCATTTTTGATATCCAAAAGATGACATTGTACTCACGATGATTTTTTCACTAGCAAAAGTCTCAGCATGGACTTTAACTGGGTAGTACAGGGGAGAATCTCTTCTCCTGCCTCAGAACTTGCTTTGCTTAGAAGAAGAATGCTGTTACCCAAAGGATCTTCTGGGTCGGCATAGCCCTAGTAGATTTTTTTAAAAAGAGAAATTATTTTTTCAATTTTAAACATAGCTTTTCAACTTGGAAGTAAGAACTGTTTTGGCCTGTCAAGCAACTCTTAAATTTATTTAAATTCAGTTGAATAAAAGAGTCATTTTTCAAAATAACCTCCATGAGGTAAGGAGCATAAATAAAACTGTATTTCAAAGAAGATACACATTCATGCTAGAGAACTTTAGGAAAGTATGCTAACCCTCTTGATACATGCTGAATTTTCTGTTTTCTAAGATTCTAGTAGTGGCACTTCCCCTAGATAAGGCACCTCATAGACCCTCAGCCTGCCTCTACAGGCTGAGATGGAATGCTGTTAGCGCTCTATGTGTGGCATAGGACCCAAGGCCTGGGCTCTCTCTTTTAAAAGAAGATTGTGCCTATGATGGTATTTCTAATCTCTACCGTTTCATCCAAGAAAGGGAGAAACTTGAACTTCCTGACCCCTTAATTCCCAGAAGGACTACTAAAGAAGCTGTTTCTAAGAGTGTGTTAATCAAGGCATCGCTCTAATTCTACATAGGCATGGACAGAATTCATGAGGCAAGCTAGTTATATAAGGTGTGCTTAAAAAGGGCTGTTAGTTTTGCTAAAATCCTTTATATAAGGCTGAATTCTATTTTTCACAGTCAATGCTAAGTGCCTGCACCTCACTTTTAACCTCCCACCCAGATAAAAAGTAAATGCAGACAAATTAGCTATCCTTGTTCAACTTTCTGCCAGAAACAAGACAGCCACCCACTTCCTGTTCATTTATCCACAGTGCTTCACAGCTTCTCTTCATTTCTCTCACAACATGACAGCTTTGCTGTGTGCATGCTTTTAAATCGATCACACTGAGCCAAATATAAATGGTATCGTAAAAAGTGAATTGCACAGAACACCTGTAGTACTGGAAGGACAGGACACAAAGACTCGATAAACTTGTTCCAGGTCCATTCTGTCATCATCAGTCGTCCTTGAAGCAGATACAACAAAATGGCCTTGGCAGCAGCACTCACCTACTCAACAACACAGATCCAATAATACAGAAAGATGAGTTATCTCACTAAATCATCTGACATACCTGTAACATTTTATAAAGTCTGGAAAGGTGCTGTAATTAACATGTATTTCTTCAAATATTCATATTTCCAAAGCATCATCTTACAGTCTATTCTCAACCAGTTTTTCTCCTTTAATAATTTCTACTTTTTTACCTTTAATGCAAATTTTCCTTTGAATAAAAATTTCCCTTACTGAAATAACTTACCATAACTACCTGTACTGTATTGTTCTCCACATCTTAGATGAAAAATGTAAGTAAACCATTTGACCTAAATTCTTTGATAGCAAGTATGCCCTGTATTTTAATTCCCACATTTCTTTAACATTTCTTTTTATTTAAATAACACCTCAACAAAACCAACGATCGAAGACAATTTCTCATTACACTAAGTTACAGTAGAATATTACCTTGATTTAGCTGAGTATCTAAATTATAGTAAATTTTTGCACTTGTTTTTAATATATCATACCTCACTTTTGGGTTCTTGAATCCCAAATGTAGAGATTTCATACAGAACTTTTGGATGAAGCAAAAAATGAATTCCATTGCAAAGTGAAGACACAGGTTTAGAGACATTATGGATACCTAAACATTCCTGCAAAATAATTCAAAAAAGTATTTAAAAGTCAGTGATACTAATTTTTTCCAAAAGATCCTTCCTTCCTTCTGTTTATAGTACAATTTCATTTTTAGTTTTTACCTTATTGAAACTTTGCTTAACAATAGAGAATAAAAATGACTCTGTTGCCTAACAGTTGTTAAGTTTGTTTGAGATGCATATTATATTACTTTCTGCCAACAAGCATAGTCTTGATAAATTAAATATCAAAACTGCTAAGACAACCTTAATCTCTTAAAGTTGTTCATAATGACAGACATAAAGAACATAAACCAAATAATATATCTATCCTAAGGTGTTCACATTTTACTTATGAGGTTTGAAAAAGAAAAACAAAAATCAAATCAAAAGACTTAAAGTTATGAAAGACAACATATATCTAGGATTTTTATCATCAGTACAGCTATGCACGTAAAATACAAGCAATTATTCTGCATCATCTCTTACCCTAAAACACAAGCAATTATTCTGCATCACCTCTTAAAGTAACAATCACAAATTCTTTTTTCAATCTGGATAGAAGTAATATTTTATTAGCAGCCATATGAGGTGAGAGGGGAAAAAGCTACTTGAAATATTAAATAGAACATAAATACAATGTATAGAAGTTAAAAATACAATCAAAAATGATTTACACAAATATAATTATTTTTCGTCCTGCAAATTGCTATTTATTTTTGTTTTATTCTTTTTTTTTTTTTTTTTTGAGTTAGGCTGGAGTGCAGAGGCACACTCATGGCCACCAAAGCCTCCACCTGTTGGGCTCAGACAATCCTTCCACCTCAGCCTTTCAAGTAGCTGGAATCACAGGTGTGTACCATAAAACCCAGCTAATTTTTTTTAATTATTTATTATAGAGACAAGAGCTTATCACGTTGTCCAGCCTGGTCTCGAATCCCTGAGCTCAGGCAATTCTCTCGCATCTGCCTCCCAAAATGTCAGGATTACAGGTGTGAGCCACCATGCCTGGCTGCAAATTACTATTCAGTAACCATTACCAACAATTTAAAGGTCAGAAAGTTAATACACACATATTTGCATGCACCTATGTATTCTCTTTCAACTATTACCATCATGCCAAAAAATCCTTGTATTCAAAACTTTTGAAAAAACTAAAGCCCGGCCCTAAAGTTTAAAAAGAGTTGACACTTCCTTAAGATACTTAAACTCTTTGAGCATCAGTTTATTCATCCGTGGGAATTAATATCTACTCCTTAATAAAACACCTTTCTTTTCCCATGACTAAATAAATCAACCTGACTACACTGGCCTTCTTACAACAAAAAAATGACATAATTCTATCAAAGACTAATCCCTACCTATTAACTGCATATTATCCATTCCTGACATCAGTCAGGAAGTACAGTCCTTAAAAATTGTCTTCCTTTTCTCCACCATCTTTAATTTCTTTTTCTTAACATGATTACTCCAATCACCATATAATAAATTTTAAAATTTGGAACTAACTTCCTCCTCTAGATAATAACCCATTTTTCAGCTCTTCTTCCCAGCACAAGTTCCCGAAAGAGTTTGTTATCCTCAGCCTCTGCTTGCTCATTTCCCAGGCTCTCTTCAACCCACACCAGCAGGACTTCTGTCCCTACCACTTTCTAGAAGTGTCTTGTGTCAAGAACACCAATGACCTCTGTGATGCCAAACCCAACAGTTTCCTCTCTATTCTCATCTGACTCTTCTCACTTCAGTCTCCATGAACTGGCTCCTGTACTCAACTTCTAACTGGTTAGATTCCCACAAGGCTTTCTCTTCCCTCCATCTCTCAGTAGATGACCCTATTAAGGTTTACAGCTTTAAATATCATCTCTATGCTGATGACTGAAAACTGTACACCTAATCTGGGCTCACCATACCAAAGGAGGCATGATACAATGTTTAAGAATATGTGCCTTGGAGTCAGACTATCTGGATTCAAAGCCCAGTTTTACTACTTCCAATTGAATGGCTTTGGAATAATTCAAAGCATCTCTGTTTTTAGAAAGAGTCAGTACCTAGTTCACAGTTGTTGTGAAAATTAAATGAGATAATATGCTTATAAAAGTACTTGGTACACAGAGTAAACACTCAATAAATGTTAGCTGCTATCACTATTACTATCATCACATTTATTGGCATTATCACTATTATACTCAGTCTACTTAACATCTGCAATTGATGTAAAAAGCCATGTCAAACTTAGGTCAAAACAGAATTCTACCTAATCCACAATCACTTATTTAGGAAAACATCATCAGTCCCACTGCTGAATCTGAAACCTTAAAACTCATCCTTGGTTATTCTCTATCCCCTACTTCCATTATCAGCAAGACCAATTAGCTCTATGTCCATAACATACTCTACATTTCAATTGGTCTTCTTGCTTCCACTCTTGAACCCCTATAATCCATTCCCCACATAACAGGATAACAGGAAGAGTGATCTCTGCAGAATCAACCCACTGGTACCAATTAAATAGCCTAATCCTTAATGAATCTAAATATTCACATTCCCCAAAACCACAAACAGCTAGCCAAAGATAAGCAAGCTAAGTAGATCCGGTTTCACTATTAAAATTATGGATACAATCAACTAGGCAGCCAAAAAATGCTACTATTTGATCTTATCAGACATCTACTCATATCAGTTATTTCAGACACAATGAACATCTCATACTTTCAATCCCAAAGAAAATATGAACTCAACAGGAGTCTCCTTCAACTTCCTGTTATACCTAAGCCCACCTAACCTAGTCATTGTGTTCTAGATCTCACTGACTCCAGCTTTCAAAGGCAATAGCTTCTTTTAGTAGCTACTTGCCACCCTTTCCTTCTGATGAGTATCTCAACACATTCAAATTAAAATATACCTTCATCACAAACTTGGTCCCAATGTCACCTCTAACTCTGTCAAATCCCTGAAGACAAGACAGAAGCAAATGTAAAATCAGTATCTAGAGAATGCAAGATTCCAGGGGAAAAAAACTACCCTGCCAAAGATGATCCAAAACTCAAATAACAGCTTTTGCTAAAGTAAAAAATGTAAGGGAGATTCAATGGCTATAACATGGGAAATCAGAAGTAATAGAATAATCTAACAAGGTTGTAAAATAAGTACATTTAAAATGACACACAAGAAGTTAATAAAAGATAAATGAACTCAGTAGATTTCAATCCTACTATTAAAGGAACAATTTGCAAAAACATAGGTACAGTATGAAATTATATTTTAAACAGACAAAACAATAGCATATATTATTTATAAAGATATATATGCCTTGAAATCATAAAATCTAGGCCATCATAAACTAAAACTTAGCCGGGCTCAGTGGCTCAGCCTGTAATCCCATGCCTTTGGGAGGCTGAGGTGAGTGGATTGCCTGAGCCTGTGGGTTCGAGACCCACCTGGGCAACTTGGCAAGACCTCATCTCTACAATAAATCAAAAATGAGCCGGGCGTGGTAGCGCGCGCCTGTAGTTCCAGCTACTCAGAAGGCTGAGGTGGAAGGATCACCAGAGCCTACCAGGTCGAGGCTATGGTGGCCAGGAGCGACCACTGCACTCCAGTCTGGGTCACAGAGTGAGACTCCAACTCAAAAAAAAAATAAAAAATAAAAATAAAAATAAACTACAACTTTCCTGGGCATAAAAGTAAATTTTGAATACCTGGAAGCCAATTTTTCTACCATTTTCCATCATTAAATAACACAACATAAATCTAACTTTGTTGTTTTATTTTTCCTCGAGTCAGGGTCTCACTCTGTCGCCCAGGCTAGAGTACAGTGGCATGCTCACAACAATCATGGCTACTGCAGTCTCATCCTCCTGGGCTCAGGCAATCCTTTTGCTTCAGCCTCCCAAGGAGCTGGGACTACAGGTGTGCGTGACCATGCCCAACCAATTTTTCTTTTAAATTGTAGAGACAAGGTCTTGAAATGTTGCCCAGGCTGGTCTCGAACTCCTGGGCTCAGGCAATCCTTTCATTGGCCTCCAAAAGTGTTGGGATTACAGGCATTAGCCACCACATCCAGCATAATGTAATTTTTAATATAACTTCTAAAAAGTAATTCAACTGCTGGACTTAAGTTAAGAAAATTTAATAGTATAAATTATCATTCTTATATCTCATGCAAAAGGTAACGTAATTTAGTTTTGAAGGTATAATAAGAAAAACCACTATTACTTCTCAAAAATAAAACAAAACAAAGCAAAATTCCACCTTAATAATTTCCAGACAGCAATGGTAAGTTTCAACTTTCACTTGTGTCAGTGGGTGAGACAACATACGGAGAAACACCTTCTGACTTTCTCCTTGTAGTAATGGACTGGCCTGTGCAGATTTCCAGCTGGTAAGAAAGTAAAGCATCCAAGACATCTAAGGAAAGTAAGTTACTAAGCAAAAGACTGCAAAGCATATTGAAAGGGATTTCTTCCTATTCCAATTTCTACAACAGGGATCTTATTTAACTAACCAACATTAAACCAGTATTACTTACTTAAGCCCTTATTTGTTTCAGGGCAGAGAGTGGTCTCTCTTAAAGAGTATGAAAAAAAACAAAATGTCTTTAAAAGCTCATACTTAGCTGGTATTTATTCTTTCCAAGAGCAATGAAGATATTAAGCTCTAAATAGGAATCAGCTCTGATAGCCTCAAAACAAATCAATCAATACACAGTGCTTTTCAAAAATTCATATAAGAAAAAGGTACAAAGTAGTAAAACTTAAAAACTCAAACCCTCCATTTAAATTATTAATTAAAACTTTAAAGATAAATAAATATACAGATGTGTTTAAATAGTCTGGATGGATACAAACAACAAATGTATAAAAAATCCTAGAATTTTTCATTTTGATTATCAACATGACATTTTTAAAGTTTACTGTTGAATATAACAGTTATCTATCCTGATGCAGCTATACAGTTTAAAGGTCAGACACGTATAAAAGCAATTTAAACTGAAAAATAATAAAAAAGATATAAGGTCCATTTCATTGTTCCTAAATTTACACAAACACACACACAATATCCTATAATAATATAATCACATTAAGAAAGAAAATATTACATCTTTGAACAAACGCAGATGATTTCCTTTATTAGGGGGAAATGCTGATGACAGGAAAAGCTTTGCAAGGCTTGGTCTGCCAGCTCCACTAATTCTAAGAGATTCTTCTCTCCCTAAAAAAAAGCAGAAGGGGACAATAAATGTCAAGTTCATGTGCAATAAAATTCTCAACAGCTAACTAAGCAGCTCCAAGAAATTAGATCATTCCAAGACCCTGAGACTGCTCACATTTGCTTAAGTCCACTTACTCCACAAGCAACCTAAAAATGTCAGCCTAGGAAGAAAATGTGGAAAAAAATCCCTAGTTAAATGCCACAATTTCCATTATCTAAATCTGAGTAAACTTAAAGTTACAATCAAGTCACCCAGTACTTTTTTTTTAGATCTACCTCTGTTCAAAAAAGCAGGGCTAGTGTATTTTATTATCCACCTGCCTCTTCCTAACGTCCGGACCAACTCTACCAACACAGAAGATTTTCAATACTTGTGTGATTAACTGATCATACAAATGCAACAGAAATAATTCAAGTTAAAGACACCATTCAAACTTCTATCATAGAGGGGGGGAAAGCCAGTGGCATCAAGATGTGGCAAAAGGAAAAAGAAAAAATGAAAGAAAAGGGCAAGAGAGAAAGAAAGGAAGAGAGGCGGGGGAGGGCAAGGAGCGGGAGAGGGAGGGAATGAGGGAGGAAAACAGATCTTAAGCAGGAAAGAACAGTAGGCAAATAAGGAAAATTATAAGGTTCAGAGAGATGCTACTGCAGTGGTCAAAAGGAATAAAAATGTTGTCCCTAATTCTTCAAGATCCTCAAGATCCATTTTTGTATTTTCAGACAGTAAACAACTACTGCAGTCAATGTCTATCTGTAAGATCCATTACTCTTTCATTGACAGAATACTAACTAGTATGCTAATGCTGTGTGTGTGTGTGTGTGTGTGTGTGTGTGTGTGTGTGTGTGTGTGTGCGCGCTGGAGTCTCACTCTGTCGCCCAGACTGGAATGCAGTGGCACACTCCCGGCCACCGCAGTCTCGACCTGCTGGGCTCCGGCGACCCTTCCGCCTCAGCCTTCCAAGTAGCCAGAACTACAGGCGCGCGCTACCACGCTAATTTTTTTTATTATAGAGACGAGGTCTTGTCAAGTTGCTCGGATGGGTCTCGAACCCGCGGGCTCAGGCAATTCACTCGTCTCAGCCTCCCAAAGTGCTGGGATTACAGGCTAAGCCACTGAGTCCGGCCGCTAATACTATTTTTAAACAAAATAAATACTAATACATAATTATTACCATAACACTGCAGCTAAAGTCATTCTACTACCTTACAAACAATGTAGTTCATGGCTGTATTTAAGGAAAAAAAAAACAGTCTCTGTGTATATAGAAAGTATCTATAAAATATTAAAGCAAAAATGTGTCCACAAATAAGCAATAAAATAGCCCTTATATCTGGTTACATCAATTTTCATTCAGTTCATCTCAGTAAATCACCTCACAGAGGTACTCATTATTAAACATTAGGACATTTATAATAACCACTGGTATTTCTTAAACCACTAACATATACACCATTCATTAATCAACAGTCTTTGTTTTATACAAATCATATTCTTACATTAGTCTGATAACTGACCCACTTTATAATAATGTATCCCACCTCTAACAGTTCAACTCTTATGTATTCAACAATTTGAAAAGTATAGGTTAAATTTTCCAAATATTTCATCAAAGGAATTTAAAGGAGATATTCACAAAATGTTTTACCTCCTTCCCAACATCAGACAAGAAGTTACAAGTACATTCAATCGAATAAACAGCCTCTGCAGTTCGTTTGTAAATACTGTAGTTTTCGGAATTCAGCTGTTCCAAATAAGCCACAGCAGCTTCATGAATATTTGGATATTCCAAAGAAATAGGCATGTCCAAAGAAAGAAGAAATAATGCTGCTGACATAGGCTCTGGTAAAAACTCGCTTGCCTTGGTGAAGTTAAAAAAAAAAAAGAAAGAAGAAAATTTAAACTTTGTTTTAAAAAAACATGGTAGACTATATAATCTTAACCCTAGTCCAACACCCTCTTTAGCAATTCTTTATCACGAAATCAATGCTTTTATCAAAGAAAAGTCCATTTCCCAACACGCCATCTACATCTATGCATTCGTTCAATGCAATTTTTTTTCTTTGTAGATTCCCAACACACCATCTACTTTTACTGCTATGTCTTTGTTCAATGCAAAATGTTTCAAGTCCAAACATCAACTCTTTCTCAAAGCCCAGGATACTAGATACTGTTTTCTCTCCCAAACCAACAACCAGAATTACTCTCCCTTAGCCCCGTACCTTGTTTATATCCCTGCTGCTGAACTAAGGTACAAGGCCCTTTTCTCTAAGTATTTTGTACATATGTACACAAAAATCTCCACAATAATCCAACAAACTCATGAGGATAAGAACACTTCTCCATCCCTCAGCGAAACACATAACTAACTCAGAGCTTATTAACTACATATTAAACTGAATAACACTAACTCAAATATAGCTATAGAATGAACAGAAATTGACTTTTTGTTTGGTTTTGCCTTTTAGAGGGAAAGGGGAAATTTAACATAAGGTTTAAAATAGTTCTAAAATACTCACAGAAGACAGTCCCTTCATTATTATAAAATCAACATGACCAAATGAAATATTACATGTTTTATAACCTTAAATCAATGATTTTAAAACTGAAAAAAAACCTGTTTCTTCTTGGATGGCTCTAACTTTGTGATAAGATTCTAAGCATCAATGAAAGATATAAAAAGGATTAAAAATTCAATGCTCACAGAAAAATCTTTTGACAGAGCTCACTATCAGGGTTGAAATGCTTCCTTCATTAAAGTGGGTTTGGTCATGATTTACTTCATGGATAACCTATTTTAGGGATAATCATTAACTGATTGAAAGTATAAGATTAAGAGCGGAATCACCTTAACAACAATACTTTTAAATGAATAAAGTTGCCAAATGAATATCACAAACTACAGAAATCAAATGTTTAGATTACAAAACATGACACACACCTCCAGACCAGTAAGACAGCAGCTACTAGAAAGCCCAGGGAAATTTCATTATTCTGTAAGGAATTTTCTTGTGGAGAAAGGGGTAGGAGTTCTAAATTACCAGTTCACCTAATATTCACTCACTTGGCAAATATTCATTGAGCCGAACTGTGTTCCTCTACTATATTCCAGACACCAATCTGGATCCTGGGAACACAGCAGGAAGCAAAACAAAACTCTGTCCTCACAAAGTTGACATTCCACTGGAGAAAGCACAAAGTAAATCAATATACTTTATGTCAGGTGTGGCTAGAAACTTTTTTTAAATGGTATAGGAAAAATAGAGAGGAATACAGAAGTAATGGGGAGCGGAGGTTGGGAAATGCTACTACTTTAAACAGTAGAAGACCTCTCTAATAAAGCGACACTTAAGTAGAGACCTGGAAGAGTCAGGAGCCATGTGGCTATCTGGGGGAAGGCATTCATAGAAGAGGGAACAGCAAGTACAAAGGTTCAGAGATAGAGTATATTTGGTAGCAAGGAAGCCAGCGTAGGTAGTTCTGAGAGATGGAGTCAGAAGTAAGTGACAGACTAGACCAAGAAAGGCTATGGGTTATTACAAGGACTTGGCCTTTAATGGAAGACAACAGAAAATTTCAAGCAAATATAAGACTGGTCTGTAAAGAACTGATGATAAAGTACAAAAGTAGAAACCTAGAGACCAGTGAACAGTGTGCTGCAATAATTCAGGTAAGATAGGATAGTAGGTTTGACTCAGGTATTTTAAATTCTGTACAGATATTCAAAGGAAAAACGACAAATTTTGCTGAGGGATTAGCTCTAATTGTGAATGAAAGAGAAGAGTCAAGACCGACTCAAAGGTTTTTGCCTAATCAACTATCAACCTGAAGAAAGAAGTTGCCATACACTGTAATAGAGAAGACTACAGGAAGAACACACTTGTGAGAGGAAGCAAAAAATTAGGTTTGGGACATGTTAAGTTAGAGATATTTATTGTCATCCAGGTGAAGACATCAAAAAGGACATTGGATATATATATACCAGTTTGGAGTTCAGGTGATATGTCTGGTCTGGAAATATAAATTCGGCAGATATTAACAAATAGGTAACATTTAAAGATCACAAATGGGATAATATTTCATGAGTGCTACAGTCGGTCCTGAGGTTTCTACCCCTTTAAGAGTTAGAAAGATAGGAAATTAGTAAAGGAGATTTAGTGAGCTAAGATAGTAAATCCTAGTGAATCTGACTCCAAAGGCACTGTGTTTTAGTTTAAAAGTTTTCTCTGACTCTAGTCAAAAAAATTAGAATAATAGCTGCTATGAGAATTAAAGCATTCAGCAGAGCATATGGCATTATCACTAAATACATATTAATTTCCTTTCCTCCTTTCACCTCACCACAGAGGAATTCTGACATTTTCACCCTGCATACTCATATATGAAACTCTACTATCTCAACAACTCAAAGCACCATGCTCAAGTCATAAGCTTAATCCTTGCATGGTCCAATGGACTAACCACAATTTACACCTCAGACCTAAGATAGTTGCCCTGCATATATAAGCATTAGTCACATGTCATTTGAAACTAAAAGTGAAGAAGCTTCAGTGCAGATCCATCACCACTATTAGATAAAAACAGGTCAGCATCATCTCATGTGCATTGGGGCAGAAGGGATATAAAATACTGTCTCCGCTAAACCTAGCCACTCAGCAACCATGGCATTATTCTAGGGTTTGCTAGAAATACAGACTCTCAGGCCCTATCCTAAACTTGATGAATCAGAATATGAAAGAGGTGATTAACAACATTCCAGGTGATCTGTTTGCAATTCACACTTTGAAAAGCACTATTCTCAACCACTCAATTGGCTTCACCAAATCATTAGATTTTACACACCTCACTGAAAAGTCAAAAGACTAGTGGTATCAATTCCTCCTTCCCTCAATCTGCTAGGCTACCTGAGAAAGCATGATAAATAGCAGTTTGTAGGGTGCTCTAAGATTTTGCTTCCAGCACAGAGCCAATGCATTCAATTCTTATTTCCCAAAAGTTTCCACAAATGAAATTACCTTCATTTGCTGTACTAATTTGGTTAATCTAACCAGACTATTTTTCACAAGATTATCAAAGCATCATTTTAACTTATATATGAGTATTCTCCAAAATCACTTAAAATCAGCAAATATCAGTTTCAAAACAAGCCTTCCTCATTTTGTCAAACTCAAGAAATCTCTAGATAGATTCATATTAATTTTACAACATCCAAATTACATATTTGGTAAGTACCAACTCAAAAGAACCACATTAAAGGTAAAAAGTTTTAGAGTCCAAATTCCACTTCAATTGTTAGTGGGCTGGCAACAGACAGAGGGCAGCATAACCTTACATTTATATAAACCAAAAGAAGTTTAACAGCGATGAAATAGTATTTTTGTTTAGACATAAAAGTGCTTAATTAATCAAAACAAATATAGCCACCATAAACAATATCTTAATTGCAAACTCCTACAATGACAAAAACTGTTCTAATACAGTTTCAAGCTATATATTTTTTAAAAACTACCAAAAATTAGATAGTCATTTGTTTTTAAAACAAAAACAAAAAATAACTACCTTCAAAAAAAGCATGGATAAGTAATTTTACATTATTCTATCAGTATATAAAATAAAGTAAATAATTGATTTCTATTTAGATTTCTGCCCAAATAAGCAAACAGATGAAAAAATAAAAAGAAAATAAACCATATGATACAATTGACAGAATAAGTTTTCCATCAATTCTTCAACCTATAGATTGATCATCTGTAATACTTAATAACAACTTATTGTAGCATTACTATTATTTTCAGTTATACAATATTAAGTAAGACACTCATATTTTAAATGCAATTTCTGTCTTAAGAAACTGGAATTCTTCCATTTTTAATACTTATGCCTTGGAAAATTATTAGTCTTCAAAAGAGAAAATTACTTGAGAAACATAATGGCTGATGAATAAAAGTTAAAAATTAAAATCAATACAAGTGATGTTATTTTCCTAAAAGTCAAATATTATATTTAAAATTTAATTATTACTCTTGTTTTTGCAGGACACCTGATAATATACTGCATATATAATGTTACTAGAAAATGGAGTTTGAAGTATGTGTTCTACAGAATTCTAGAGAACAAAACTGCAAATGATTAATAACTAAGGGCAACCAAAAGGCAAAGGAAATAGTTTTCTAGTAGCTACAATCTCTCCCAAATGTTCATTTTAGTGTGCCACCCCTTTCTTTTTTGCAATAAGTATACCATAAAACTTGCTTATGAATGATTTAAGACATTTTTACCACTAACATTCAAATTCAGAGATATACCTTAACATTTAAAAAATACAGTAAGAAGATTTAAAAGACATATTTACACATATTAAAATCATCTTTAACATACATTCATACAGGGAACGGTATTTTGCAATAAAAATTAACAAATTACTTCTAATCTAAATAAATCTGAATCTAAATAAAAAGTTGGATGGGAAGGAGTCTCTGGAATTTTGGTAATGTTCTACTTCCTGTTATGGGGAGGGTGGTCACTTTTTAAAGGCAGATCTACTTACTTAGTTAAAAAAAGTACTGAACTGTATTTCCTGAATGAATGCTACACCACAATAAGAAAAAGTTCCAAAAAAAAATGCTGTTACAGAATTAACATGTTTTGTTCCTGACAATGTATTAAAAATCATTTAAAACATTAAGTGTCCTAATTAAACTATCATACCACACAATTTCAGAAATTGTGACTAGCAATACACAGAAGAAACACTGGCCCTAGGCACTTTCTACTTTCTTCAAGTTTTCCAAAGTGCTTCTTTTTAATAATCCCCCCATATAGTCTTAAAATTATCTTTTTCACGTACTCCTTTTTTACCCATTCTTCAGTGAAAGCAATAAAAGTTGTAGAACTGCAAGTTTTTAAAAATTTTGCTTATCACAAAAACATATTTAAGCATTCTCAGTCTTTGACTCAGTTATGCTACTAGGAATTTAAGAATCCAAAATGTGTAAATATGTGCATGTAGCTATTTAACATGGTGTTATTTATCAAAACACCAAAAAAAACCCTAAATGCTTGATGTCTAGAATGCTTGTGCAAATTATGGAACATCTTAATAATAAAATATTAGTATCTATTAAAATTTATAAAGTGGTTAATTAAATGGAAAGTGTATGTAAGATAATAAATGGTAAAAAGAATAATTTTTATAGATGCTCTCACTTGACTAATAAAAATCTAACTTTTTAAAAAAAACTTCAATACTAATATAACCAATTTTTATTTTTCTCTGTACATTAAAATGTCTTAAATGAGCATTTTATTTTCAGAATAAAAGTTAAAAATTATTCCGGGCATGGTGGCTCACGCCTATAATCCCAGCACTTTAGGAGGCCAAGGTGAGAGGACTGCCTGAGCCCACAGGCAACTTGGCAAGACCTCATCTCTACAATAAATCAAAAACTTAGCTGGGCATGGTGACACGTGCCTGTAGTTCCAGCTACTTGGAAGGCTGAGGTGGAAGGATCACCTGAGGCCAGCAGGTCAAGTCTGCGGTAGCCATGAGCCTGCCATTGCACTCCAGCCTGGGCAACAGAGTGAGACTCTGACTCAAAAAAAAAAAGTTAAAAATTAAAAAACCCAATGTTTAAGAAAAGTGTTACATAAAATAGAAAAGTAGAAAAAGGAAAAGTACTAAAATAAAGACTAACACAGAAAAAAGCTTATTGTTATCAAAGGCAAAAAAGCACCTCCATAAAAGATAACTAAAGTAACATGTTAATCACAAAACAGAAATTTTCAAAAGACATACTAAGGCATGAAACCATATAATAAGTAACTCAAACTATAAATATAGTTAAGTTTTAGATACCAAAATAAATTACCAAATATCAAATGTAACTCAATGAGTCAAACAAACATCAGGATATTTAATACTACCAGACATATATTTCCTGAAATTCTTTTGATAACCAGCCAAGATAAAAATATCAAGCCATTAAGTTGCTGGCAGAAGGGAGGCAAACATAGGAAACCTTTCAAATAAATTTATGCCACTAAAAAAAAAAAAAAAAATCACTCAAGTTACTAAACTATACAACATACTAATAATATAAACAAAATAAGACAAATACAGGAAACAAAACAGCCCTAAGAAACCAACTTGATCAACCTTAGAAATTAAAGCATTGCTGGCAGCATTCTGAATAGCTAAAACAAAAAAAGTTACATGAAATTAGCATATGCTAACTACGAAATAATTTCTGAAGTACCACTGGAAACTACTGTTTGTATTTCATGAGTCAAGGAACCTGCAAAATGGTGAATGAGTAAAGAACTCTGACAACATGTACTTAGCTGTAGAGAAGGAAAAGCTAACCTTGATATGAGTGAGAAGAACCAAGACACACTCCATTGCAGAGATGAGATGGTAGGCTTTCAATGACTTCTGTTCAATTAAAAGATACATCAAGTATATGAATTATATGTATATATGTGATTCTGCGTGTGTATGTGTAGATACATATGTACATATATGTAGATATGCATATATCAAGTACCTACAAAACTTACTATATGCTGAATACAGAGGTAGGCATAAAGAGAAAATGTATAGTATAGACATGACCTCTGCTCTGAAAGTGATCCCAAAAATTATTAAAGAAATGAAACTAGGTAAGTCAAACATATACATATATATATTAGATAACAACAAAGCTTGTCTTTTACAAGACTAAGTTCTATCTATGATGCCAGGGACCAATTCTAATGTACTCAGTTTTACATCTAGCATCTAATACCACAAGTCTATATATGTAATGAATAAAATATTCACTGAATAACAAGTGAAAAAATAAACAAATGTACAAACCACAATAAAAACAAACATTAGACTAAGAATTAATTTTCTATCTAATAATTTGTTGAAATTGTTCAAAATGTTAGCCATTTCTCTATTTCTACATTTCCCATATAACCTTTGTACCCACACTTATTTTGAAAATGGCCTAATGCAGAATACCTTCACACCATGACATAATCAAAAGGAATTTACAGCAAAGCATTTATTTGTAATTCTCAGTAAACTATAAACAAGCAGAATTAACTGCCTCACCTTTTCAACAGGGAGAAGGGTTTGTAACAGTCGAACTGCAAACAGTGAAATGCTGATAAAGGCCATTCTGTGGTGCACCAGCATCATCTCTGTTTGCTCCAAACTGACACTATTTTTGTGGTAGCAAATAGTTTCTCCAAGGGATCCCAACACCAGGAGCAGTTTCTCTTTCTGAAAACATTTTAAAAACAAAAAAAGAGAAAAACAACCAGTTTTAGGGACCAGTGTATAAATGCCACTGAGGATAGTTTAACATATCATTATCATTAAATAGTAAACCAATAGCCTGGCAGTGGCTCACGCCTGTAATTCCAGCACTCTGGGAGTTCAAAGCAGGAAGATCGCTTGAGACCAGAAGTTCCAGACCTGTCGAGGCAACACGGTAGGCTCTCATCTCTACAAAAGAGTACAAAAATTAGCTGGGCATGGTGGCACACACCTGAAGTCCCAGCTACTCAGGAGGCTGGTGGAAGGATCTCTTGAGCCTAGAAGGTCCAGGCTGCAGTGAGCCACCACTGTACTCGAGCCAGTCAACAGAGTAATACTCTGTCTCAAAAAAAAAGGATTCCTCTCTATGAGAATTACCAATACCTGCTAACATAAGAAAAAAGTACAAAAGAATGATAAACACACCTGCATTAAAAAAACACAACAATTTTTAATTAACTAATAATGAATAGAAACAAACAACAAAATGCAAAAGCTAAATGAACGGTAAATTCCTTCTAGTTTCTAGTGCTTAATTGTTCCATCTTAGATGCTTGCATATAAACTTCTCAAAATATTATTTTTACTGTATGCCTAGCACAGTGGCAGGCATAATGGGGAAAAACTGTATTAGTTCAAGAGATATGATCCCTCTCCTCAAATTGATCCCAATGTTACTAAAGAAATGAGACAAGAAAAGGCAAATAATTAAAAAGTAATTAAATATCAAATGTATAAACTATCTCTCTTCAGTAAAAAGGTTGTTTCAAGTAGAAAATGCTCTGCCATTGTAAATTTCTAAACAACTTATTACTTAAATAGAAATTATACCTTTTAAGTTGAGAGGTATATATTAAATATAAAAAGGAAGAAAAACACAGTAATGCAAGCCACATTAATATACACCAAAGTATATCCTAGATATTCTGACATGCCCCCGTAAACTAGATGGTAAAAAGACAGTAAGAGAAGAGGGGAAAAAAAAGTAAATACTGAAATTGTTGCTCTCAATTTTCCATTAAAAACATATGAAAATAAAAATGAGAAATAACCTGCAAACAGAACAAAAATTTAACTTTTCAGAATTTCTTTTATTCAAGGATGACTATAAAGAAAACACAATAAAAAGGCAAGAGGCCTAAAAACCACCAGAAAAATCACAGGTATTGATGAGTGTACAGAGAAATTGGAATCCTTGTGTGTTGCAGGTGGGAATGTAAAATGGGAAGCCATTGTGGAAAATGTAATGGCAGTTCCTCAAAAAACATAGAATTATCATGATTCAGCAAATTCCACTTCTGGGTGTATATCAAAAAGAACTAAAAGCAGGGTATCAAAGAGAGATTTATACATACCCATGTTCATAGATGCACTATTCACAACAGCCAAAAGGTGGAAGTAAAAATGCAAGTGTCCCTTGGCCAATGAATGCACAAACAAAATGTGGTATGTGGTATTTACATACAAAAAATAGGGTTGAGCATTCAAAAGAAATCAAATTCTGACACATGCTGTAACATGGATGAATCTTTAAAACATTATGCTAAGTCAAATAAGCCAGATAAAAAAGACTAATATTTGATTCCACTTAGTACATGAGGTACTAAGGGCCAGAGGAAGGCAGAATGGGGAGTTACTGTTTAATGAGTAGAGAGTTTCTGTTTGTGATGATGAAAATGTTCTGAAGATAGATAACGGTAATGGTTGCAGGACAATGTGAATGTGCTAATGCCATTGAACTGTATACACAAAATGAGTTATAATGGTAAATGCTGTTATATATATTTTACCACAATAAAAAAATTATAGAATTGAGTAAATCTTATTATTTACATGGATCACAATACATTTTTTAACACAAGTACAATTAAAACTATGATAATTACTTTCCAAATCACTGCTAAACTAAAAGATGAAATAATCTACATTGAAAAAAAAAAGAGATGGCAAAAACTTTTCAGAGTAGACCAAGCATAACTATACAACAAAGTTTAAATTCTTCTAGTAAGTGAAACATAATTTCACATTGAGGTAAAAAACAAAAATTAAAAATGTATACATAGAAAAATTTTTATGCTTAAGAGGTTAAAAATTCAATGTGCAAAAAATATAAGTAATGTGCATAACAAAAAATATAAGTAATGTGCATAATGAGTAATTTAGGGTAAAAACACTTAAAGAGTAATTTTCTACTGATGAAATGTATAAAGTCAAGACTTAATAGAAATGAGTCTTTGTGATCTGAATAACATACAATATTAACAAAACTTGCTATTGATATGGGTTTATAGATTTTAACTCAGTCTTTTTGAGCTTTATTAAAATTAATAGATATTTACTTTGAACATTACAAAGAATATGACTTCTCAAGTTTCCAAGAAAGACTGGCAAAACTCACTTTAAAAATACCATAAAGAAACCATATCCTTCAATGTATATTTAAGGCTATATTCTCTGATCCCCCAAAAATAAAATAAATATTTAAGCCAAATGTAGAGCAACTTTACAAAATTAAAACAGAAAAACTAAAAAGTTCTCGTATAAATAACTATTGGCCTAGAAAAAACATATCAGAAATACAGTGACATCTTGTTATATTGACAGGCAATTCCTGTCATTTCTCCATTAAAGAAATACTTTTACATGCCTAAGAATAGTATCTCTACTATTTAAGGTTAACTTTGAGAATTTACAATTTAGATCAATAAGTATATTTAAGATTTCAGTATTGCGGAGTTTTTCCTAAAAGTCCATTTACCTGTAAAACTGTTTCAAATAACTTTGCTAATTCTAATAATGAGTATTTTTCAAAATAGCATAAAGTACTATAAGAATTAGCTTTGCGATTTTCACTATTTCTAGCATTTCTTCTAAGAAAAAAAATGTTTTAATGTTTTAGAAAAGAAAGGATTGAAGAAACAATAACTGGCCCACAGTTTCATGTTTTAATTCTTTGGGCTAAACATGTTTAAACAACAGCCCTACAGGAGTTGATAGGAAAGAAAAAAAAAAGGCCAGTTTCAAAGGATATTCATAGCTTTTACAACAGACGGTACAGAATTAAAATATCAGATTAGCAAAATATTTAAATATTCTCAAAGAAACAGATTTTTACAGTGCAAACACAATTTTTCCACTGTTTCCACAATATCAAATGGGCTTTAGATTCTATAAGGCAGCTGAACTAAATGACTGCAGGAGGCTCTCCCATATGCTTGGCCACCTCCCTTGTATAAATCTCACCAGGCACTTCCCTAAGTAAGAGCAACTTCATCCTGCCTTCAAGGGAAAAAGCAGAACTAGTCAGAACCACATCAAAATCCCTCTAGGAGCAGATCTTCATTTAATCCCCAAACCTCTCCCCACAATGCCATTTCCATCTCACGTTTTACACTCTAGGTACTTGTGCTCCACCACCAGCCCTATCTTTGTACCACCAATCAGAACTATCCATGCCTCTTTGTCATGGCTCATTCTCTTACTTTCTGCCAGATTAAAACAAACAAACAAATTTGTAAAACCCTACCTTTATCTGCTTGGCCAAAGCCTACTTATAATTTAAAACTCAGTTCATTCAGATCTACAAAAAGCCTCACTCCAGGCTGGGAGTGTTTTCAAAGCACTCTTGACAGTAAAACGTAATGGTTACAAACACAGACTCTCAAGTGACCTTGAAAATGAAACCATGCCTCCATTTCCTCATCTGCAAAATGGGCTATCTAATATAGGATCGTGATGATTAAATGACTTAATAAGCAAAGTGTTTAAATAGAGTCTGAAATATAGTAAGTGGTACATTTAACCTATTTTAGTTTAACTATTACTCCTCTATGCTTATCTTTGTTTTACTCATGTCACTACAAATGTCTGTTACCCACAAGCATGAAAAGAACTACATCTTATTCACCTTATACTCCCAGTGCATACCATATAATAGGCAATCAAAAAATGTGAGCTAAAATAACTATCTTTGGAATGGTGGCAGAAGCAGGAAAAGACTATGTTAATTAGAGATTCCACTACTCCAACTATATATTTACAATCCAGTTCAACTACCTTATTCAACTAACTTATTGAGCTCTTACTGATACAAGGCCCTTCTATTTAGATTCTTTCACAATCCTCTCAGCCCCTCTTAAACTCCAACCTGCTGGAGTTGTACCAACATGCCTCAGTGTCAAAGTTACCAGCTCACAGCAGGTCAGATGGGAATTTAGAAGCAATGACACATAAAGAAGAAAAGACTGCTTTTAATGACTACAATGACAGGAGTGACACAGAAGAAATGAGGAAAAGGAAAAGACAACAGACCCAAGAGTCTGGGTTTTCCTGGCATGAGGTAAAGTTCCCTACTCCTTGAATCTAACTTAGCATTTAAAAAAGGGCAAAACAGACTTTTAATGGGGGGGGGATCGATGACATATGAAGTACTCTAGGTTAATCTAACTTTTACAAGTGCTTATCAATAAAATTTTTATTTTAACAAAGTACATAATTTTGGTGAAAATATTTTTTATTTACTTCAAGTGATAAAAAAACATTCAATTTTGGGGGAAAAAATTTATTTTCCTATGCTCACCCAAATGGAGTTATAGAATTCCAGACATGATTGACGCAATTGATGTTAGCACTATTTGGAAATACCTAGATTTGATTATATAACTTCAGGTATTTAGTTTCTCAAATAACAACACATTTATTATTTTATTCCTTTAATGACTTAACAAATACACTGCTTCTGACGTTTTAAAATTGGCAAAAGTAGAAACATTAAGAAATTTTACTTGTTTGCTTCTTTTAATATACAGCCAAAGGAAGAGATTTTTCCCAGGAGGCATTTATTTTTTTAAACAAGTAAATCAAATATAATTTCAAGAAGTACTGTTTTATTTAGCATTTCTAACATACCAATTGGCACTGGTACAACAGAATTAACCTTTAAAGTAAAAATAATTCATTGAATC